GCCTCCACCACCAATACCAGCAATGCTACTACCACTGTTATTAATACTGCTGCCCACTGTTGAAACGGTAACGCCACTACTGGTCTGCATGACGCCGCCTACACCGGCATTCCCAGCCATRTTGGCTGCCTGTGTTGCTGTYGCTATTGCTGTTGGTATGGGTGTTGGTGTTGATGACACTGTCGCTGTTGCTGGTGCTACTGTATAGTAGTCAGCAGCTGCATGCCCTATGGAAGCTGCTGACATAACATTTCCATCGGCCATTAACGTCCGGCACTAACTCTATTTTAGCACTTTAGCACTTGTGCGTGCAGCAATTACTTCGTCCTAATGTTCACTTCCACACCACCGTATAGTAGTAAGTGAATTGAAGCTTTTAACAGCAACAAAAATGAAATAATAACAACAAAAAACGTTGAGTTGAAACGCTGCCAAATTTTTGTCACAATTTACGTGCTAATTGCGCCAACTGCTATTATCGCTTTACTATTTTTTTTTTGTCGTTGTTGTTGTTGTTGTTTTTGCAATTACGTACTATTACCACGTTAAATTTATTGCGTATATTTATTATGCAGTTGACACAAATTTTTTCTCACTCACTTATATTTATTTCTACACGTTTGGCTGAAGCAAAAAAAAAAACACACTCCACAGTTCAGCTGTTGAGCACCGTCGTCTGGCCACCACCGCTGCCAGCAAACAGAAAACAACCTGTAAAGAAAAATGAGTTGAGGTTAGTTCACATTCAGTGGAAGTACTAACATAGTGCATCGTTATGTCTATGACGCCAGTAGGTAATAAATATTATCACGACATATTATTTGTTATTATAGTAAATATACATTCTAAAGAAAACAAAAAGCTTGAATAAAATAAAAAGATTATTTACAGTTTTGGCGCACGCCACTATAAGCGTTAAGTAAACAAGAATAAACATTTTATTTAATAGAATAAAGTTGTGCTTAAATAGGTAAATTAGACTAATAAATTTCTTATCCCCGAAAGTTTTTAGAATTTTATAAGTCGAGTATCGTATAGCATGTCCTACCYTCATCGCTTAGACCTATTGCTAGCTAGAGGAGCTCTTTTGCCACCTAGCWTCGGTCTAAAACGTATTCTAACCGGCAACTGCAATAAAAACGCAACTCTTTTCAGAAGGAAAACGTGACGGAACACTTGGCGACGAATATYGCAACAGGGACGGAACAAGCATATGTTTTTACTTAAAGTTCATTCTTATCGATTGAGTTTAGTAAGCCAATTTCAATTGGACCACTAACTTCCCGAAAAAAACACGATAAAGACCACAATAATTATCCAGAACTTGTTTAATTTATAGTGTGTTACACTTTTGAAACGCGCTGTAAATAGTTCTTCGTTATTTCGGTTACCAAAATACATACTTTCGCCGGYATAAGTTCGTGCGTCATACTAGATAATTTGCAACATGATAACAACAAAAAAAAAATTTTTGCTTATTATTTATTAAAATATTAGTTGCTATTTTTTGATAAACACGTTAATTTTCGACTTTATGACAATTTGGTTTTTTGATAAGCCATGCGTTGGCGTTTAACATCACTTAATAATCATAATCGTGGCCTTAGATAAGCATAGCGAATGTGACAAATTTGATGAGAGCTTGGGAACAGTAAGTAATTTTTTAGGCAAATTTTGCTTATATGATGATGAAATAACACGAGGGGTAATAAATTGGTATAACAAAGAGTTGATTGCGTGAAAGTAAGAAATCTGATATGACAGAACCATGGCCACTGAGAAATATTTCGATATGTATAAAAATAATTATAGAAGCTTATCTGACCAAATAAGTTTTATATATATTATATATGTATGTACATGCATATTAAAAAAAAATATTTATTATTAGACAGCTACCTTACCGATAATTAGCTTTAAATATAATATATGCCTGCTAAATTGTAAAATCAGTATAGCAACTATTATATTTAGTGTGCAGAGATAATAGAAAATCAAATGGTCATTTGACTGCCGGAAGAGCTTTTCTGGATGACTAATCAACCTCTGCCTATAAACTTTAACGCTTTATTTCGAGAAATAATAGCGGCCGGCACCGCGATTTTACCCAATTTTATCATATACAAGAACATATTATCAACTGTTATSAAGTCTTAGCACTGAAAAGAAAGTATAATCAAAGAAAATTTAAATATCCATAATAAAAATTAACGGATATTGATAAGTGCGCATAAATAAGTATTTATGTAAGTGCATGCAAGGATCATTATGCCAGCAACACGCAAATCGAATGAGCAACTCATCAAAGTCATAAAGTCGATAGTGTAGCTATTTTTTGTGAAATGATTCCGTAAKCAGCTTATGTATGATTATAAGCGTACATACATATATACAATTGTACTTATTTATATCAGTTTCATGCCGCCGAAAGCCTTTACAAATATTATAAATACATACATATAGACAAAGGCAAAGGCGGAGTCATGTAGGCGGCAGGAAGGCAAGTTATAAGTATATTACYGACGAGTCATTGATAGCGTACACTTTTAGTTGGCAAAACGAAAGCAATATAGTCACGCAGAAACAAAGGCCCCGCCACCCCGCCGCCATAGTCAATGCACTTTACTCAGCAGTATTTTTAAGCCCAGACAGGAGATAAGCTGCCGAAACAAAGTATGTGCAGGCAAATGAAGCGCTACAAAAGTAGCAAAAACACAACAAGCAAGTAATCAAAGTAGTAAATAGTACATACGTTCGATTACAGCTACAAAGGARTCTTGGTTCCTAAAACAATATAGTATGTATATAAAATGTATAGGTATTTGTGTAGATTACATTTGTACAATTGYCTTAGAAAGCTGTCGTTAATRCGTATRTTACACATATATTCAAGTAAATATYGCAAAGGCGTAACCACAAATGTTCTCTTGGCCAGTAAGGCTAACAAGTGAATAGCAACACCTGGCCACTTTCAACCCCATCCGAACCTAAGACTATATGTGACTGTGAAACTTGGCTGCCAAACCATGCGAAACGTTTCCGACCAACTGACCAACTAAGTAAAGCAACATCATGTCAAGCTAAATACAATACCACCTTAGCTGCATTTACATTCCAATGAGAGGGGTACCTTATCCTATATTTTGTTTGCCAAGTCTATGCGCGACGTTTATATACACTTTGCAATAAAATGAAGGCAAAGGTCATACCAAACAATCTATATTGACCAACSTATACTGGCTAAACAACAATATGGTCCTAATAGAAAACTTTACGGTATTGTAGATGGAAAATTTATACGCTAACTATCCAATTGCACGAATACTTACACATCAATTTTTGGTTGTATATTGTAACCAAGCAATTTCTACCACTTTGGGCGATAATAAATTACAGAGATTATTCGATATTGCTGATTTATAGGTTAGGCTTTTTAGGGCCTTCCTTTGTTTTTTCTTCGATTAACAATTTAAAATGTGAAAGGTTTTTTGCATTTATGATTTGATTACAAGCAGAAACTTTTGCAAGAAGATTTCAAGCAACACTTTTCACTAAACACAGACAACAAAGTCACCACGTCGATAACTGTTTTCTATTTTAAATATGTCAATAATATTATTTTTGTTTTTAAACCCAAAAGTTATTATTTTTCACAAAAAATTTTCAGCTTTTCGTCCCGTGAACACCACAAAAATTCTTTCCTTTCAACGTCTGTTCTCTATCTGACATTCGCAGCCTTTTTATTTTCCTATTGTCACAGATTCGCTAAAGTCAACGAATATGAGGATGACTCGTTCAAATTTAACATGGTTGCATTTTAACAAATATTCTAATTGCAGTAAAAAAATAATATTTCGTATATTTTAAAATAAATATTTTAAAAATAGACCACTTCATATATATGTTCTCATCCCAAATGTTAGTTACGTGTATAACACCAAGCAAAAATAGATATCTTATATATATGTATATGAAAAACCGAAACACAAACAAAAAATAATATTAAACATTTTCTTAAACCCACGAAACAAATAAGACTTCAATTTCGTTTGCAGTAAATAATGTTATTAATTATAATTCGGATTTAACATTTTCTTATGATTTGTAAGATTTTGTCCACTACTGCCCACCGTGCAAGCCTTGATCAGCCGTTCGGCCGAACATACTATGCTTTCAGTAGCGGTAGTATTTGTATGTATATATATTTTCATTGAAGAAATGCSGTGTTTTTGTTTACATTCAATAAAATGACTGAATTGATAAATTTGTTTAAGAAATTAAGTGAGTTTTTTGATCGTAAATTGCTTTGGGAAAATATTGAAGAGGCTTACGAGGATGATGCTGAAAAAGAGCAAAACAAGAATAAATCGAATGCGGAAGACCAACCTCTATCTACCTCTCAGCAAGCTAAGCCCTCTGTACCTGAATTGCCATTTGTGCAGCGTGCACTCAACGATCCGCAGGTGTTGTCCACCCTACTAGAGCTATGCTCTGCCATACGTATTTTGCGAAGTGAATCAAGTGCCAGCTATGATAATACCTATGATTGCTGGGATGAAGTGGTTAAAGTGTCACCGCGTGACTCCTACCTCAGCTTCGTGTATGCTTTAGCGGGTCTACCAACATTGGATGCTGCTTGTGCCGCATATACAAAGCTTGCACTTGCTGCCGTCGATACATATTTTCTTTCGTTAACTATTCCCGGTGCAAAAGGATTTCATATCTTTGAGCCCGAGGTAATAGCGCATTGTCTTCAGGTCTTCGGTTTGATAGAACGCATCCAGAATCCTGATATTCTACGTCGAATGTCGAAACAGCAACCTATCGAAATATGGGTACGATTTTCAACATTCTGCGATGACTTCAAATTGCTGCTAAGGTATGTGCATTTCAACGATCACAAAGCCACACGAGACATCTTGCTGAAGAAACTAGTGAATATATTGTACATGAATCATGAACGCGGTTATGCCAATATGTGTAAGTGAAATTTCCTCTTATTTTCCACAAATCTTATTAATTTCGTGTTTTATTTATAACCAAAGTAGCAGAACATTTCTAAATATCTAAAATACAAAAATTGATATATCATTGGTAAAGCGATAAAGTGTTTAGCCGATAGCACGTTTCATAAACAAATTTTTTATAGGCGAAATAGTGTCTGTGAGCTGTAAACCTAAGCTGCGCAGCAAAACCACCGGTGTGAATGTGGTCGAGTAGAGTGTATGCAAACCGTGCACACCCACCATTATAGGCACGTTCTTAGACAAGCTACGTTGCTCGTATTTAATAAGGTAATGATTGTCACTGAGTTTTGCACCAGCGTACGCCGCCTCAGAAAGCACTTTAACAAGTTCACGCACATCACTGAACCCTAAATTCACACCTTGACCTGCGAGTGGATGTACCCGATGAGCAGCGTCTCCAATCAAAGCTGCACCGGTGCATACATATGATGAGGCATGTAAAAAGCCTAAAGGAAATGATGCACGTGATTTCTCTATAACACCATTTACGGCAGGCGGATATTGCCTCAGCATATCGGGATTACGTCCAATAATCGAATTTAATGTATTCATTGCATTGACAACAACTCCATTCTTGGGGTATTCCTTGAAAAAAGCCTCATTTAATGCTTTAGTGAAATCAGCCTCAGACAATTCCAACAGATGTTTAGCATGTGGAATAGTTGTACTCCACACCACCGAACTGAGTGTGTCGCTTAATGGTAGTAAAGCTACCGGGCCGGTTGGTAAGAAACGTTGCCAGGCCACCGTATTATCACAAGGGTCTTCTAATTGCACGGTGGCTACCACTCCACGACGTTGATACTCCAAACTAAATACATCGATATTCATTTGTTTACGCACCAATGAATTGGCGCCATCAGCGCCTATCAGTAGTTCACATGTTAATGTTTTGCCATCTTTAAGGTGCACTTGCGAGTATTTATCGCCAGTGTCTACTGAAAGTTGTACGCCTTCAATGCGCGAATTGTTACGCACCTCCACATTTTGCGTATTTGTGTTATCGGCCAATTGTGCATACAGAGCATCCAACATCAAGTCATTTTCAATAATGCAAGCAACATCAGCGGCGAAATGTTCATCTTGAAATTTGATTAAGGCATCACTACATGCATCCCACACTTGCATCTGTTTAACATGTTTTACTCTACGTTCTTCCATGTAATCCCAAGCGCCGATAGATTGGAATAGTTCYACACTATTATTATTTATAGCGGAGACACGGTTGCCATATTGCGCTTCGACATTGAAGCCTCTGAAAGGCGGTGCGCCCTCAAGCAATAATATCCGTTTGTCATTTAAAACTTTATTTTTGCCCAAAGCAACTGCGAGTGCTGTGCCGACGAGTCCACCACCACCAATTATGATGTCATAATGTTCTGCAGAGGATTTCGGTTTTTGTGCATGGTCATCCGTGTAGCACTTCGAACTAACGCAAATTGCACGCACAGCATGAAGCTGCTTGAAAAGCAGACGCAAATTACGTGTGCCCGATGGTTTTATTAAAGCAGACATTGTTTTGATAATGCCGACTAAAATTTAAAATTAATTCAAATTAAATTGTGAAATATTTATTTTGCTTTTCTACCTTTCCAAAATTATGCGGCACTTTGATTATTTTCTTTCTCTTTTCGGTTTGCTTTTGATTTGTTTGAATGCTTTGATTTCCAAATTCTGTGAAACAGCTGATGTGAAGCACAGTGTTGTATTTTGTGCAGGAAATGAATTCGTTAATTATTTCTTATACTGTTTTTATTTCCAGTTTCCCTTTAACCATATCCGCAGTACCAAATTTAATTATATTTTTCTTAACGCCTTTAAACAATTRTGTTTTTAGATGCTGCCAATCTACACGCTAAATGCTTTGAAATATTTGACGAAGTAGTAAACGCGCATAACGGCGAACCGGAAGATACACTAAAAAAGCTAATGAATATGACAGTTTTCCTGCACACTTACCCGCCAAAACCGAAAAGTACAAGCGGAACTGTCATTAGTGGTGATTGCGAACATATCTCCGATTGGTTTATCAAATGCATTTCAAAATATCCGCGTCTGCTTGTAAAAGTTCTAAATTTCTATATCGAATGCATAGTTACCAATCCAATAAAATCTTGGAAAACAGAGCAGACACAACGCGCACTAGAATACGCCGCAAAATATGATGCTGCACTTTATACCACCTGTAATGAGTCATCGGTGGAGTTCTTGTGCGAAGCAATCTATGCCGATGAAGTAATGATACGTGCACGTGCCATAGAATTAATTTCACGCATTTTGCAGTTGGAGGCACATGTTAATTGGCAAATGTTTCGACACGAAGTATCGGACATACCACGCGAAGTATATCTCATTAATGAACTCATAAAGAGTTTGCAGGATTTTAACAACACCGTTAAACTGAAAGCAGTACAGGCGCTGCATCTTGCGCTTACCAAAGGTTCACCAAACACTATGAAAATACTAAACGAAGGTATATGCTATACACGTTACCTCGATCTTGGTGTCAAGCTGCCAGATGAACCACGTGTACGTAAGAATGAAATACGCTACGAGAAACCCTCTGCGCTTGAGCCGAAGTACAGTTTCGAAGGACATGGTTTGGTGGAGTTGTCATTCTTGCATTTGCCAGAATATGTTTATGAAAATCTCTTCCAAAGTCCCCAATCATATATCAGACGTGCGGGTGTTATGTTTATGGAGCAACTAATCAAACTAAATCCACTTATTATTTTCAATACAAATTTTGTGACAGAAACAACGCGTCTCGTTGATGAACCCACTGCCTTAGTGCGGAAACAAACATTAGTCAGTATCGACAGCATTCTAGGCTGCTACCCGAACTGTTATCCAGTCGTGTGGGTGTGGTGCAAGGTTGTGGCGCCCATGTTGCGCGATGGCGATCCAAAGAATATTGAATTGGCTRTGGATGTAAGTGTGTAATAATGTCTGCACTTATTTATGTAATCCAAATTTTGTTTGATGACAGTGTTTTCGCGCACGCGTATTTGCAAATATGCGCGGTATCGATCAATCCAATCAGGCGGAACACTTTATGCCTTGGGTTATTATACGCACAATGCTGTCCACGCAGCCGCGACTCTATCTGCAAGAATGCTTTCACATGGCTTTACAGCAACGCTTGCTGAAGTAAGTCTTTAGGATTAAAAATGTATACGAGTTTTATCAAAAAGTTAAGTTTAAATCACATAACCTCAACATGTAATCTTTATAAAATCTTGCAGTCCTCAAATACTCAGCATAATCGAGTCACATTTACTAACCTCGAATTCCACAGAAGCTTGGATCGTGCTCAACTTCGTTTCTGGCAAGTTGAAGAGTAAAGAACCCGATGCACTTATACATCTTTTCATATCACTGAAATCGGTATTACACAATTTGGCCCTACAACTATACATATTTAACAAACATTTTACTATTTCTTCTCCACAGTGGAACAAAGAACAAAATATGCTTATTGCTCTGGAAGTGCTCGCTAATTGCATACAAGACTTCTCGCATACAGCACTCAATCAAGCTTTCAATCACATACTCACGCAAATACGCGAAGGTCAAATCTTACCGGTACTCATTGGCAAAGCATTTGATCTGCTCATTCACATCGACAATTGCTCGCAATCTCAGGCCACCAAAGGCAAAAATCTCAAAAGCAATCCACTTGAGTTAACCGAAAAAGCTTGGTTGCTCGAATTGCATGATTTGCTGGAATTTCGCATACTCTCGGGCATAGCAGATTTCCCCGATAATCGCGCCACATTTATGTCTCACCTTTACTCCTACTCAGAAGTGAATTTGCAGACGCGTTTGCGCCCGCATCACACTATTGTCTCCTTCGTGCACAAATACATGAGCGTGTGCTTGAAATTGCCTGAGTCAGAGTTGGATTTGGAAAATGAGCGCCTCTTCAATTCGATGATATTGATTGCTGGTCGTCTATCTCTACGTGATGCCGTTACGGCCAGCACTACTTGTAAACTTTATGGTGCCATATTGAAAATGATCGATCGTCCACCAATCGTGAATACTATAACGATTTCAATAACGGATCTTTGTAAGAAGCACACGCAARTTGTGGAACGTATCATTGAGCACGTGCTGGCGAAATTATCATCGCCGTATGTCATGAATCGAGTGGAGACATTTAAATGTTTCGAGAAATTGGTCTTGCAGGATCAGTTGAAATTGCGTGGTTCCTTGTTGTTGGCGCTTATGTCTGCTATTTTAGATGAGAATAGAGAATTGGCAACGCGTGCTTGTGATTTTTTTGAAGAATATCTCAGTAAGAAGAATTCAACGCTCTTTCAGAAGTGTTTAATCGAATGTCCATTCGTCTTCAACGAATACGAGGTGTGTCTGGGCGCTTGTGGATACTTGTRGAATATAATATTATCAAGTTTGTATTTTTTTCTTTTACAGAATTTCGACGGTTTGGATAGCTTTTCGGATACAAGCATTAAGTCGCCTTTGAAAGGAGAGGCAAAGCGTAAGAGTCGTCAATTGCTTTATAATCACATGCTGGCGACGGTGGATGAGGTGAATTTGGTGCTCTATTTTGGGCAACTCAAACTGATTTCAGGTAAGACGGAGTAKTAAAAGTTTGAAATTAAGAYGAAAGCACTTTGTWTACCCTTTTATGCGATAAGAAATGTACCTGTAATGAGTATTATAGCTTCGGTGCAAATGAACTTGCAGTTTTTCTTGTTTTATTAATGTTTTTTTAGAAAAATCACTACGTGACGAGTGCATGAAAAGTCCTGAAGGCATCGCATTGCTCAAGGATGTACTGTTCATTTTAAAACGCGTTTGCCAATTGACCAAGGAACAAAAGTCCAATGCTGACAACAAAGAAGACGACGACGAGGATAATGCTACGGATGATGCAATCGCACAAGCAAACGAAGCAGCTGCAGTAGATGAGGCAAGCACAGCTAAAACTTCAGGTGCCACCACCGCTGGCAGTGCGGGCCGTGGACGCGGGCGCAGACGTGAAATAATAACTATGCCCGATGCGGTAAGAAAGCAAATGCCAATTTTTTTAACAAAATCCATTAAACTTGTTTATATTTTTAGYTGAATCTACTCGAAAAGTCGTTGATATTCATACCCACCATTCATGGTTGCTTCACTGCCCACACCGATGACACATTACAAAAAGCTTTCGACGATTTGGGATTTGCATTGGCAAAGCGCTTTCCCAATCTGGTGCACTATGCGCAGCCAGCAAAGTTTTGGTGCAAGTATCGTGAGAAAATAGTCACGGATTCGCYGTCGCAGCAAAAGAAAAAATCGAAACGAAAAGGCAAAGTTGCCAAAACAYCCGAGAAGCCCAAAGCGAATTCAACGCAAGTCGAAGGAGATCTGGTTATGGCTGAGGAAATCGACGAGATCGACGAAAATTTAGAATGTGACTCAGCGGATGAAAGTGATTTTTGTTCGGACGATGACATGCCATTGGCGAGCACGATGTGTGCTGGCGCTTCGCCACAGAAACGTTTGCGTTTGAGCGATGCCGAAATACCRATGGAATATTTATTCAATCCGAGCATTTGAAAGTTGGAGTGCGCTTCTAGCGCATGTGTTGACACGTAGAAGAGYAATTGGTAATAATATTTGCAACATATAAACGATGTTATATAGAAGGATTTAAGGTTATGCAGAGAGATTTGCTCCTATTATTTGACTGCCTTAGTTTAATGCATTTATATTTTTTACTTAATTTTAAGTCACAGAAAAGACTCGAATAGTTGGTGTTTATATTTTTTTATATTTATTTAATTACTTTAATTTTTTATACTGACAGAGAATGATATGAAAAGGAATACGTACGTAGACTTCAATATTATGCATAACATAAATGAGGTTAAGTTTGTTATAGAATTTATTAAATAGATTTTATATAAGACCAAGTTATTAATAATATTAATAAACTAATTCTCGAATTAATACTTACATATATACTTAAGAGATACTTTCATAGATATGTATATGTCGTTACATAAATTATATATTGAATATTTATAGCGCAGTAATATATTGTACGCATCATATCTCATATAATAAAATGTTATATTAACAAAATTTTAAGTTTCATGCATAATACTATTAATGTATTATATATCAAAATTAATTGTTTTTTATAAGAAAAAATTGACAAATATAAATAAAAAAATATTAAACATTTATTAGAAATAGTACAATAAACATAAAATATATATTTTCAGTTTAAAAAAAGAACCCAAAACTCAAAAAATCTCCAAAAACATTAACGCGGGAACAGTGATATGTATACAAGAAATTTAACACAAAATTATATTAGAAACCAAATACGGTTCTGKGATCAAGACCCTATGAAATAAGACCAAAATGGAATAACAAGGTAAGAATTCAACGTAAAAACATTTATATACAATTTATGGCGACAATATTTTTATGAYAGCTAGAAGAAGCTTAGATTTTTGTTATTGGAAAGCTTGCTGTGACGTTTGTGTATTAAATCTGACATCAAAATTGTGATGCTCCACCAAAAAGACCAAAAGAAATGCATGTTTCAACAAAGGGCTTTGAGTCTATACCAAAACTTTATGAATTTTTGTTGTTTTTGTATACGCAAAACGGATTCCTGAAGCTATTTAGTGGAATGGAGCCGAATACAGTCTTTGACCGGAACGCGCCCGGATTTTTATACGGGCACGGACTGTCAACTCGGTACTATTATTCGATATTACTTGAGGAATGTTTTCTGCAGCGACAAGACTAACAACAAAAACAACAGGACATTGCCAGGACAGTCGAGTTTACGTAACCGTAACATACTCCGTTTTGTATCCGGTCAATGAGTGTCAACTCAGCGGACATGAAAACTATTTACTGATATACTATGGGCCTTGAACCATACCAAGGTGGTTAGTGAAAAGTTAGAAAAAAGGTAGTTAGAAAACTTCCTGGCATTTTCAGGGCGTTGATCAACGCAWTGATTTGGTTCTCTGTGCTTTTCAGCACCGTTGGGTAAGGCTGTCGTCAGCAGATACTCACGTTAAACATACAGTATGTCTCTCCCTTATAGCTACCAAGACGAATTTTTAATAACATTTCTTTTACCGATATCAGATCATCGTCCCAAAAACAAAAATAATAAAAAAAATCGGACGGAAACGGAACTGTATCGGGTCCATAAACTGCACAAATTTTATTGGCGGCTTGAGATGCATTTTTGCCTTTATCGTAGTAGTACTGTAAAATATGCCGTATTTTCTCTTTATTTTGCTCCACGCTATAACTCACGAACGACTTAAAAGCAACGACAATCAATCAAACACGTGTTAGCGCGTGAAATGAGCTTTCCAAAAAGGTAAAGCACGACCCGATGCGACGAATAAAACTAGAACTACGCGCTCTCAGCGCCAACTAGCGAAAATACCGCAACCTAATATTTTGCACAAATTAACTGACTGAATTTGARACTGAATGTTAGGTCAATATCATCATATTACTCCAGCGGAAATTCTGTAGAAAGAATATTTGAAATGAAAAACAAGCTTTTTTACAATCCTGGTGATTATATTCATTCATCTTAACTGGAACTCTTTTAAGGCAGGAGGGTAATCGCTGAGCCATCTACGAGTAGTTTTACAGGCACCAAACGCCACACCCTACGAGTTACGAGCGGCGGTTATTCTAACCTCTATGATTTTCAATCGCAAAGTGGTTCGCGCTTAATTTCACGTGTCTCAATTCACCGACRGCGGCACACTTCCAATTGACCAGTATTTACCTTTTCACAGCTCCGCTTTCCGCATAGATTCGTGCAAACACCCCGAGTTGATAGCCAGAAAGCCGTTGCCGGCTTGTAATGCAATACGGGTTGCAAGTAGCACGCTGCAATGGCGAAGGCGTACGAAAACAAAACTAGAAATACCAGACTAATTAGATTAAATGCTATTTTTCGTGTCAAGTTCTACAAAACAGAAATTATTTGAGTGCATTGCAAAGTGAATTCGTTTCAGTACGAGATGGACTTTACTTAGCGACGCGCGCGTTCAAACCACACACACTGCTCAGACCAATTATTAATGAGCTCCAGTTAGTTGTTATATAAATATCCAATAAATTTGGAAACACGCTAAATTATAATGAATAATAACGAATTTTGCTTCGATGTGCAACGGAAATCCTACGAATACGAACAGAGTTACGAAAACGACTCGAAACTAAGTCCGGACACTTACGAAAGCGCGAGTGAAAATTTACTCACCGATTATGAAGTTGTGAGCAACGAGGAGGCGGACGACGACGACACCGCTGAAGTCGCATATCGAAAGTTACGACGCGAAAAGACGGAAAGTGCGGTTCTAACCAAGAATTCACCGCGTCACGCAAGTGGCGAACGCGCTGAACTCTGTAAATTGCACCTGAGTTTGAGCGCAGAAAAAATATCGTTAAAATCACAGTCGGAGAAAATCGATAAATCGAACGCGTCGCTGGCAACGGAAATTGCGCAGCAAAAAGAAAGCGCAARCGGACGCGAGCGTTGTGGACGTGGGGCGAAATCGACTAGCGCAAGTGGGTTTTGTCCGCGGCACAGACGCCAACAACCACAGACGCAGCAACAGTTGGAGAAGCATAAGCCAAAGCAATATGCGCCGATTAATTTCACCATAGTGCCAATTAATGTGGCGACGCAGAGGCGTGTTAACGAGCGAAACTACGAAAATGGGCGTGATTTGCCGGAAATTGTGCTGACATCCTYCGAGCAGCAACAGCAACAAGCGCCAAAGCAACAAGGCTTCACAACTGGAAAAGTGCCAACGYCGCCCGGTTTCGAAGCGCCTGCCACGTCTAAGCGTGGTACAACGCCGAAAGGCGGCAATTCAACATATTTGCAGCAAAAGGAACCACAACAACAATACCGACAATCACAACAATATCGCAGTGCAATGTTGTCGACAGCGGAAATAGCAGTCCCACCACCTTTACCGCCGCCACCGCCATCGCCTGCACCCTCCCCAACAACATCCGCTACAGCAACCAAAGCAAAGAAAGTCACCAGATTTTCSCGTGCGCCCGAATTCGCCAACAATCACTTTGAGCTGCTACCAGCTGCAAAGCTCACCCCCACCGCCGACACGGCGGCTGTTSCAMCCGCGTTGCCAACAAAAAAGCTACCGGATGCYGAGGATACGAGCATAAGCGAGATTAATTCGCAGCCAGGCAGCTCTACTTCACCGGAATCTTTAATGGATAATGTGCTAAGCGCTGCGTCATCGGTCTCCGTGCGCAGCAGTAGTCTGAGCAGCGCTGGCGGCGGCAGCGGTAGTGGCGGCAGTGAAATTCTAAAATTTCTCAATGTCACACAAAGCGRAAGCTGCACGCGTAATGTGCCACATGTTGCTGTGGCAGCCGTGGCCATAGAACAACAGCAACAACCACAGGCACATCAGCAACATGTCGTTGCGCAGACAAAGGAATTGTACGATAATCGCTCATTGAACTTTAAATCGCCCGTTACGAGAGGCTTGTCGCCGTTAATGACAATAACGGCGGTAAAGCAAGCCACAACAGCGGCACTCACACCCGTGCCACCAACGCCAACCGCAAYAACACCGTTACAACTGTTGTCGCCRKCGCGCACTCTGACGCCCTCTCCATCCACGGTGTTAGCATTGGGTGGCGGAGCGTCGTCAGCGCGTTCGGSTGAGACGCGTGYGCTGCAACCAACCGAACTAATCGAGGCGTCAGCAAATCGYTCAAGGTGCGTTAGACCGTATACACTTCAGTGGGTTTTCGTATGCGTTCGGTCAGGGTCGCAGGGAAATAGGGAAATTAGAATTATACATACACATACATATGTATATGTCAAATAAGAGTACAAGATAATAGCATGAAACGGAGGTAAAACAAATTGAAAATAAACAAAAGAAAACAGTGTTTTACTTGGAAACACTAAACGACTTTTTTGCGGCGATACTGAGCCGAAGATCCAGTTAGTCTCACTGCGCTTTTAATCGTACTATACAGTTGTTTTTAGTTTTTTTTTTTAACAAAACTAGAATCTTAAAGTCCTTCATTTACTTTGTYTTATCCAGAAGTCCATCGCCAAGTTCCGGCATCTTGATTCGCGTTACTCCGGATCCCTCTTTATTTCCCGATGATTTAAAATGTCGCATCTGCAGTGAAATATTTCGTGACCCACGCACCTTGAATTGTTTACATTCCTTTTGTTTCCAATGCCTGGTTGATGAAAATTTCAAACAAGACTCCAGCATACCATTTTGGTCGCAACCTGGCGCCGAGGAYCATGATTGGAAGGGTAAGTGGAATACTTTTTTTTTTGAGTTCTTTAGACATTTTTTGTTAAATAATTATCAATGAATTCCAGCCCTAACTCAGTAAATAAGTCCAATCCAAGAGTTTAAATCTAGCGTTACGTGTATATCATAGTGAAAACTATGATTCCATCGGGCCGCATTTTCAGCCAGCTTAGAATGAAGACCTGMACAATTTTAATTATTCGAAGCTCTTTTGAATTGAACCGGATATACATCTATCTCATACCAAGCTCTTTAAAAACCTGAACACCTGAACAATGTAGGACTAAATAAATATTCGAAGTATTTCCTTTTAATGCAACATCCGCATAGCTTACMAGTTTCATAAACTAATAAAAGATAAAGTAAATATTGATATATGCAARCAAATATACCAACTTCGGAGTTTGTCAGCGCAGCTTGCACCTGCTTCTATTGGGCATTTTATACGCTTCTTAGTAGGTAGCCGCGTATCTAGCTTTCACTGGATCATTGACCTTAAAARTAGGTCATTCGTTGGCAGATWCATTACTKKCAGCTCCACYTTTGGCATCACCATCCCTTCCSTTCTTTGTAAACATACTTKGASTACCGAGTTTGGTTCTAGCTGSCGCTGGTGTTGTTGGCTTCCTGGAGCTACGCTTATATTCAGCTCCAAGTTTAATGTTATCCCTTGCACCTAGACCAAGCTCTTGTCTTTGTAATGACTACTTTAAGCTTTTTACAAATGCAGCTCTCTTCTTGGAGCAACTAGTTTCCTGCTGATTCTCCACAGGAGTCGCATAACACCATGATGCAGCTCTTTTTTGTATATCCAACCGAAGTAAGACTTCTTATTTTAATGCTGTGCTATTAAGGAGGAACGGACTCCCAACAAAGGAGTCAAAGTTTTGCTAGACACCTCTCAACTGCAACAGAAGCGAATTGTTGCCAGTTAGTCTTCCCATCGTCGAGATGTGGTATGTATAACCAGTCGACGATACTCTCGTGGAGGGTTTGGCGGAAGTTTATCGCAGATCAATAAATGTTATGTAAAAATGTCTGTAACATAGTTAGCACTTGCTGATAAAATTTCAAAAACCTGTTAAACTTCGCGGAGGTTCYTCTCTGGTCTTCTGTAAGGGAATTAACAGCTGTTTTTGTGGCATAACTGTAGCGAATATAATACCGGAGATGGTCATTTTAGGTTATAAAAAATTTTCCTTTCAACTCACACAATTTTATTTTATTTTTAACTGTTATTTTATTATTTAAATTTACTTATTTTTAGTCGCGCTACACTATTTAAAGCTATTGATATATGCTTGTATTTATATGGTATATAGTAAAGTACTTACATATGTATGTATGTATATGTATATAAGAGTATAAATGAAGTTATTAGTATTTGAGTTAATAGAGTAATAAAATTTGAAACTCTACGTTATTTTTTATTTCTCGTAGACATAATTATAGTGCTGTTATATGCTTAACAGCAGAGTAGCTTTAGATTTCCTTAAATAATTGATTGAATTTGAAAAAGGTCCACTTTGTGGCTCAAACTTTCTTGTAACAAGTGATTTCACTAAACTATTTCTCGACTTTTTAATATTAGCTTAGTAATATTGCGATTTTATGTARAATATTAGAAGAATATATCTTTTATATATAAGTAATATCTATTAGGTATTATGTAATATAAGAGTAGCTAATACAATTGGCAATTATTGGAGTTGATTTAACAAATTTCGTCTTATGTAATATAAATACGTGAGTATTTAAGTATAATTTTAAAGTATGCAATAGCTTTATTTAGCTGTCTACGAATCGCCAGAAATTTAAAGTRTGGCGAATCGAACAAACAGCTGAATTACTTATAGATTCTTGAAATATTCGCATACCAACTTGTATTCAGTTTAATTATAAATTTTATGTCTTAACATGAGAGCTTAATGAGCAGCGTAGTGGCGAATCGAAGACGGCTATTACGAGTGTGTGCTAGAGTATTTGGTATGCAGAAAATTTGATTATCTGAGAATATGTCCGGCTATTAGACGCTTAGAGGTCATTTTATGTTAAAGAAAAATGAATACCTATATGTGAGAAAAGTGAAGTTCCCACCGCTATAAGCCTTCATAAAGCCTATAATTTTGGGTTCTAACTATATTGTTCATCTCAACTATGACCACTGTCATAAAAAATCCGTCCTAAATCCTAATTTAGTATTCTTAATACTAAAATTAAACAGATCAAATTATGTATTCAATGAACGATTTTRGTAGACAGATTATCTGAAAGACATCCCAATTTTGCTTGGCTCAGTTCTACTTTGGCTTTTTCTCCAAAGATAAGTAGAAGCTATCAAAAAGATCCGCCATATATTGCTCAAAGATCAGTAGAAACTTCTGAGCTCAGTCATACTGCACGGAAAATAAGGAATGTGAAAACCCAAGCTAACTGTGGCTAAATTTCAGTTATAGACGTTTGAATCAACGGTTAGATTCCTAAAATTTACCTTTTACCTGCCTACATAAAGATACAGATTTTTAGAGTAATAATAAAGCCTCATAGTTCAAAAGGCTAAATGGTGGAAGCTCTCACCACTTTTATGGATTATATTTGTCATTAACCCGGCATAGAAGAGCGATTGTGTCGTTTTTAAAGATTTAGTGAATCTCGAGGAGGCAATCATAATGGAAATAAAGGAATCGTTTCTTCCAAAGTTCGCTGAGAAGTTTATTGTTACTCTATGGAACATACTGCATGTTACGTCGAAATCTTAAACTTTTTTCACGATTTAAAAGAGTGATATTGTGAGTGATTTGAGGAAGTTTTTCGGCAAAATATATATTCAACTGACATTGATTGATTGACGGACGATCCGCGACCTTAGATACATATATTGTGTCCTCTCCTAAATCACAAAGACTCATCGAGCCCCAGCATATTGATAAAGTCCAATATGCTGCTGGGTGCTAGCGAAGCGATGTGATCCCTATTTGGAAACATGGATCCAAGGGTCTTCTCATCTGACATTGAAATAAGGTTTATATATGTATATATATTGATACAATATATGTATAAACCAGTTATATGAAAAGGGGTCAGCAAAAAGGGTGGAATAGATTAAATCTCCACTATCCGTCATCTACAATTCTGTTTGGCTTGTGTCACGTTTTTAAAAGGTTAAAATTAGGAAAAAATATTATTAACCGTTAACAACCTAGGACACCACTCCCTTGAGATCTTTTTAAGGATCCCTAGCACACTTACTAAGACTACCTACTGTTATTAATAATTTTTTTAAGTATGTATATGGAGTATATAAATATTAAGTATACTAGTTATTAATATATTTAATATGCATATTTTAGTATAAATATAAAGTTTCTAATGCACAGCGAAATGTTTAATGGCGTCGGCCAATTTAATATGACTTCATTTTATAAGTTATTGTTTTTATATATTTTATATAGGTATATATCTCAATTAATTTCGAAGAAAGTAATATGATCATTGAACTTTTGTTGTTGTTGCCGTAGTTGCAGATAGTTTACAGAGCTTACATTTAAGCAAAGTTGTAATTTTTACAATTAATTTTAGATTTTTAAAATGTTTTTTATATTTTTTGTTTATTTTTAGATTTCTGATATTTGATTTTAATAATTTTTTATTTGAATGTACATATTATATAATTTTTTTATTCGTATTTTTTATTCGTTTTTTTATTCGTTTTTTGTAATATTATTTAATAATTATTAATTAACTATTTATTATGCTTTTAAAGTTTTTTAKCGTTTTCTTTTTTTATATATATTTTGTCCTCTTTCCGATTTTTTTTTTATCCAACTGGCATTCAACAAATTGTATTATTCAAGAATTCATAACAACTTGGCTGACCGAGAACAGCAACAGCGGCCGCCTCATGACGCGTCTTTAAGAAATTACCCACCCAATGTGTCGTCAAATCGATATACTTAGTTTTCGCCCCAGGATTGTAGTCTAGAAATCCTGCTTTCGGTATGACCTCCTCGATTTGACTGCCATCCGGCCAGTTATTGTAGCTGGCGATGTTAATGAAACCCACGTGGTTGAGTATGGCTGTGCGCCAAGCGACGCCATAATACTGTAAGCATGAAGAAAAGAAGCAGCGTTATTCAGTTGTAATTATTTTTCTACAATCTTTTTATTTATACCAAATATATTCCTAACCACTTACCCTGCCATTGCTGCGATGCCTTTGTATATCACCGTGTCGTGGGAATTTATTGCGTTCCGCGAAACCTGGTCCAACTGTTGGCACAAATAACATTTTGTATGTTAAAGCGAAGGATTTTAAATATGACCAATTCTTCCAGGTGCTCGCAAATGTGGCGCCATTACTTGGTAATTTATTGTAGAAGCCTTCGAAGCAGAGTCGTCGCATGATATCCACATGGTTTTTGAGGCTGTGGTGAAGAAACAAATATTCAATCTTTAGTTTCGTTTTTCTATTGCTTAAACGGTCGAATCGTTCCAAGTCAGAGATCCTGCCTTTGGAACCTAATTTATATATTATGTGCAATTAAAGAACTTTTCGGGCTCTCTGAAAAAGAGTTGGAAGTATTATATTTGGAAAATACGAATTTCAATATCCGAGTCTAAATTCATAAATTTAATGTGAAAGCGCAGTAAATATTTGGCACTTTCTTGTTCAGCCATATATTCTTTGTCCAATTTAGAGAAACGAAAATTGAGGTGTAGTTTTCAAACCCAAAAGTTTAGCCGTTAATACAGTAGACGACAGATGCTGTATGGTGCCAGAAGACTTTCATGGCTCAAATTAATTCTTGATTCTCCGAAAATGATTCCTTTGGTTATCAAATAACCTCGACAGATTATTTCCACACTTCTGCTCATGGAGCAGATTGTTTTAAAGTATTTTGTACTCACATTTGTCCTATTCATTCTTAAAATATTTCTGTTGAAATTGAGAGTCCACTAAAAGAAGTCAAATACTGAAATTTTGTGGCTGAATTTGTTATAGTCAAGCAACGAAGTCGAACCCTGGATTATTCTATATATCTTCCACTACAACTACCACTTTTTCAGAAGATCCTTCACTATCGTATAACTAAGAATTCCTTCGACAAAAATTYGAGGATTACTAAATTATAATTTATAAGCCATACCGGACGTTACCGGATGCATTAAGTGCATAACTGAACCGAAATTCATGGGGTTCGAAACTTAACTCTGGAAAATTTTATAATTAAGATAGAGGTTTTTTTATAGTGGTCAGTCAAGAACTACACAATCCTCGTACCAAAAAACTTTATACTCGTGTCTTAAAATGTATGGGGTCCACCAACTTCTGTTAATGTTGAGTACTACAAATGAGAAAATTACCACTCCCAAAACTTTAGCACAGATCAAAACCTTTGATTCTAAATTTATTATCAATAAGTGTTGTCACTAACAGYTTCTTATTATCACCAAACGACTTTTCATTTAAAAATATCCCGAACTTACCGAATATGTCCAATAAAGTAGGCATCGAAAATGCGCCTCAACGTCTCCGGATGCGTTTGACACAAAGCACGACCTGCGGGCGTTTCACTCAACTTATAAGCGTTGCTTACATAAATCACTGGCACCAAGCGCTTACGCGTCAACGAATAAACACGATAGAAACTCTCGGCGGTGGCGTAACGACGCACCGCCTCCAATTGCTGCTGCAAAAACTCCACGCTCTGATTGCCCGCCACACTGATCTCAAAGGTAATGCTCAAATTATAGCTGGGCGCCAGTTCCAACAGCTGACGATAGAGTTCCACCTCGCCCGCTTTGCCGCTACAGCTGAGTATGAGCACACCAATGCCGCAATTGTGTATGTTATCGAAATGCTTTTGCAGCAAACTGGTTGTGGGCTTGTACAAACCCAAAGCCGGATAGAATGCGGTGTTAAGTATACGCACTGGCTTCACCGTCGTGGTCGTAGTTGTTGGCGATGTTACACCTGAAGTTGGTGATGATAATGCTGATGATTGGACGGCGTCGGAAACATCGTTCAGCAACTCTTTGGCGGCGCCACGCAGCTGTAACTGTGGTGAGACCAGCTGCGGCTTCTTTGTCTTATACCAGGCGACAGGCGCGCTGTAGAAGATATGCACACCCGTCGTGACGGCATCCAGCTTGGTGCGTTCCTCACCCGCATCGATGGCATTACGCTGCTGTTCTTGGCGCAGCTGCTGCACACGCTCCTGTGCTATGCGCGCCTTCACCTTATGCTCGTCATACTTCTCGGGCACAATAACACCATTTTGGCGCGGCGATTTCAATGGTGGCTGCTCCAAGCGGCCGTCTTGACTGCCCACACCGCCGACAGCACCGCCGCCACCGCCATAGATGCGCGCTATGAAGCGTTCGTCGAGCACGCGTTCAGTGGAGCTCACATTCGGCGAGATGTTCAATATGACCACAGTAATCACAATCAGCGCTATGACCATGAGCAGAAAGAGTATTTTCAACTTTCGTCGATTTTTGACATATTTTTTCAGTAGCATTTTGTAGCTGCGCTTGCAATTGATGCAGCATTTTACAGACGTTTAAGTTAGTGGCAACAGCAACGCAGGCCGTCCCGCGCGCGGACCGTGTGAACGACTGACAAAGACTGCGTTTGTGCCGTCGCCGACGTCCTTGCGGAGGACTATAAAATCACTAGATTGCGACGTTGAGTGCGTCGCGCGTGTGTGTGTGTGTGTGTGCCAAGTGCTTTTGTGTACTTAGCTGTGGAAGTATGTGTGAAGCACTCGAGCGTTTTATTTTCAATGCACAGCGTTCTGTTTTTTCATTTTTCAACTTGTTTTTTACCTTTTCGTACACATAATTATGCTTGTCTGCTTCCTCTTCTTTGTGTGCTACTTCTATTTTCGTATTTTAATGATTGCCTTTTTTTACTGCATTCCTTTTTAGCGCAAACACCCCTGCTAGGCTTAATAGCTATATCGTTGTTCGTATATATGCGTGCTGTGTGTGGCTGTGTTGGTGTGTACCATGTGCTTCCTGTTTACGCTTTTGCCGTGAGTGAATGCTTTCATACCACTGCCGGTGGACCATTGTTTACATGCAGTGCGCATGCGTGCTTCCAGCCATGAAAATAAGTTCAAGAGAGCAGAGGAAAGAGTGTAAATAATCGCTTAACTGTCATAAGTACTTTAGAGGAAAATGACAAGCGGTRACTGTTATAAAATGCTGTTCAATAAGTTCCGTGTATAAAGAAGAATCCTCAGCTAAAAATTTGAAAATGTTTTTTGGTCCAGACCTTTTCATCCATCCAGTGAAGTTTCGTTCATTAGGCCCTAAAATGGTAATTTGGTTAGACAATTGTATACAGGAGCTAGAGCTCAGATCAGGAATGTTTCTAATATTGATATCAGTTCCGTTMTAAAATCCAGTTCCTCATAAACCACTTTCTCACCGATAAAAATATCTTGCTGACGAAATTTGTCAAGAAAGAAGAAAAATATCAGAGATTCATATATCGGTTCAACAACGTGAACGAAGTCTAATTCATTATTGCTACGGTAACAGTCTAAAATCTAGAAGAAGTGGCCTKATAAAGGAGGCATTGCTGTTTTGTCTTTCAAGCTGTCCTTTTTTTAGTGTAAGCAACACTTTGTGACCGCGATCTAAGATCTACTGCGCCAGAGTAATATTCGGTTGTATATTAGAGCCATCATTTCGTACGATACTTAAACTGATTTTGCGACAGAGGAAAAATTTCTAAAGAAATGAAAACTCAACGCATAAAGTCATCTCTCATCGTCGCCTCCATTCGCATTACTTCCTTAACTAATTAGCTGAAGGAGCTCCCATTAATTAGAGAATGCTTGGAATGTTACTTTAAGACTAGAAACCGCTTGTTTTAAGATGGACGTTTGTTTAGATTTCATTTGCGGCGTTTTTTACGTATCGGGTATCAAACCCATCGCACAACCCTGAGAGATGGTTTGCCTTCTCACTTTAGCTCGTCTTCAAAAGCATGTTTTATGGTTACCCAGAGGATATTTTTTCTAAGACCGGAAGCCGTGAGCTTGAACTATATGAACTTGCGTGAACTTCTACACATGACTCCATCTTCGTGTATATATCGCATTGGTTTCTCTACAACTCTTAGCTCTAAATCTCTTAGCCTTTGGTACGTATTTTTTCAAATTTCCGACTCCAACGTTTAGATTATGAGAGGACTTCTAATAAAAAATTTTACATTTATTGCCTTAGTTACTACTTAATGCATATATTACTTTCTTAAAGCCACCAACAAGTCCAACTGTAGCGCGCAATCGTCTTCACCGGAGATGTCAGTGCGCAGCGGTTCCACCTCACCTTCGCGAACACGACAGTCGTCATTCAGCTTTAGACGTAAGAAATCGCTCGAACGGATTTTGCTGAAAGTAAGGGTGGGTAAAGCAACAATAACAATAAATTTAAAAAAAACATATTAAAATATCCATACAACAGTCAAAATCGGACGGCAAGAGCTCGGAGAGCTCCACATCGCTGCGTTTGAGCGCTCCGCCCGAAGAGCGTCTACGCTACATCAGTTGTAAGATTTGCAAATATGCAACCGTAATACCGTTAGGTGGCATACGTCAATTACCACAGAATTTTCTGCTCGTACGCAAGATCGAGACCATACAACAGGAGCTRGGCGATGAAGTGATAACAAAGGTTTGGTGCAGCCTCTGCTTCGAGGAAACCAATGTGAGTGGAAGAGTGTGTATTAAAAGTTATTTTAAGTTTTAGAAGAGTCTTCCAGGCGATCTACCATTGTGTTAGCTGCACGCTGAATCTGTGCTCGCTCTGCCGAGATTCACATGAACGGCAGCGCAACACAGCTAACCATAGTATACGGAATATAATGGAGTTGAGACGTGCGCGTAAAAAGCAACAAACTCTGCTGGATGATAAAACGAAATTTACGCTGAAATGTGGCATGCATCCGGGTTTTGAAATGAAGGCCTTCTGCAACAGCTGTTTGCAGGTGAGTGTGAGAAGCATAAATGCGCCTAGACTTTTTCTTATACGCGTCCGTTCTTCTTCTGAAGATCGCTTGCGCCGATTGCCTGYTGCTCCTACACAAAGGCCACAAACATGAGTCGATACCAAAAGCTTTTGTAAATTACTCTAAATTACTATACGACGCTGTGAATCATACGCGTCCGCTCTGCAGCTATGCCGAACATTCGGTCGAGCGCATGAACGATATATCCAAGCATATAAATAAGAAATGTGATGACATACAAGCGCAGATAGAGGTCTTCATACGGCAGTACCTCGACGCTATCGAAGTGCATCGGAAGACTTTGTTACAGCAAGTGCATCGTGCACGCGAGACCAAAGTGGAAATGATACTTGAGCAGCAGTTGGATTTAGGTGAGTGCTGAGAGTTATTTCTGTTCTTACTTATTTCTTTTTTGTTATAGAAAAACGCAATAACGAGTCCAAGGAGGCTTTGCTCTTCGCTCAGGAACTCACCGAATGYGGTTCCCATGTTGAAGTGCTTTCTTTTCTCAACATTTTGCTTAAGCGTTTCGAATACTGTCAACAATTCAAAATGCCCACCGAACCAAAGGTAAGGAATGTCTCATAYACCCTGACAAATATTTATAACAAGGTAAGCAATGAGCTTCGATGACCGCATCTTTATTTTTTGGCTGCCATTTTTATTTAATGATTCATAAGGCTAGATCGCAGATTCAACTGAAAATTTGAGAAAAATAAATTCCGGACTGAAAGCTGGTGGGAATTCGCTTGTCTTATTGTAGGTTACTATTCAAAAGCTGAATTATGTCAGCTCAGAAATTTAATTRTTGTTATTTTAGCAGCAGAAAATATTTCACAAATATGAAARAATTCAGAAT